GAAGCCAGGAGCCAGCAGCTGCTTCTGGGTCTCCCACGCGGGTGCAGGGGCCCAAGGACCTGGGCCAGTTTCCACTGCTTTCCCAGGCCATAGTAGAGCTGGGTCAGAAGAGGAGCAGCCGGGACTTGAACCAGTGTCCATATGGGACACCGGAGCTGCAGGCGGAGGATTAAGCTACTGCGCCACAGTGCCAGCCCCCCGCAAATGTTATTTGCATTAAAATGGAGGTGCATTTTAATGCTATTTCCCATGTGCTTTCCGCAGCCCCTTGTACGGACCAAGAACCAGTCTGAAGAATCTGCAAGAACGGCTGCGAATTCTCTGCAAGAGACTGCCGGCACAGGCGCCGCCTTCACACCGTGAGGCATTTATTCAGGGAGCCCCACAGCGGCCCGGACGCGGACGGCGCACCCACGTCGCTGCAGGAACCACTCCAAGAGGGCAGGCTTTCGGGCGAGTGTCCAGGGCCCCTGCGCAGGCAGGTACCACTGGGAGAGCAAGGGCTGCGGCCACAGATACTGTGCGCCACCGGGAGACCGACGGCTGCGGCCACAGATACGGCGTGCCACCGGGAGACCGACGGCTGCGGCCACAGATACGGCGTGCCACCGGGAGACCGACGGCTGCGGCCACAGATCCGTGCTGAGGGGAGCAGGTGACCGGCCTCGCAGTGAGGAAGCCGCTTCCCACACCAGAGACCTTGGGATCGATTCCCCGATCCCGCCCCTGACTCCGGCAGCAGCGAGGGCTCGAGTGACCGGGTTCCTGTGGGAGACCCAGGTTATGTTCCGAGCTCCTGGTTCCGGCTCCAGCCGCGGCCCAATCCCCGATGGGCAAGTGTGTGGGGGCATGAACAGGCAGAGGAGAGCTCTCTGTTCTGCCATGGAAAAGGAGACACACACCCTCTCCCTGTGTGTCCCATGACGGGACATTTAACAGATGAGCCTTCCAAAGGTGGCAAACCTGATGACCTCTTCTAAAGCTACCAAGCGCAGCTGAGACAGAATCTGGCTTATGCAGACAGAAAACGGTGTCTTACATAAGAATGTGACTACTGGGCGCCGCGGCTCAATGGGCTAATCCTCTGCCTGCGGCGCCGGCACACGGGGTTCTAGGCCCGGTCGGGGTGCTGGATTCTGTCCCGGTTGCCCCTCTTCCAGGCCAGCTCTCTGCTGTGGCCCGGGAAGGCAGTGGAGGATGGCCCAAGTGCTTGGGCCCTGTACCCCTTGGGAGACCAGGAGAAGCACCTGGCTCCTGGCTTTGGATCAGTGCGGTGCACCAGCCGGGCGGCCATTGGAGGGTGAATCAATGGAAGGAAGACCTTTCTCTCTGTCTCTCTCTCTCACTGTCCACTCTGCCTGTCAAAAAATAAATAAATAAAAAAAATAAAAATAAAAAAGTGACTACTAAGGTGGGGGTCTCTCAGAGGGAAAACAAAAGACGACAAAACAAGAGGGCAGCTGAGCGTGCAGTGGGACCCCAGGGGCTGCCTGGACCCAGACAGCACTGAGCCCCGCACGGGCCCTGTTTCCTGCTGTGCACGTGTACCTGTGATACAGCTGAACCCACCCACAGGGCACAGGAGAGGCATTAGGAAAACACAACAGTCACTGACAACAAAAGGAGGGTGCTGTACACTCCTGCTGTGGCCACCTGAGCTGACTCAGCCCACGTGCCGAGATGAAGTGGGACTCGCATCGTCATGCCACGTGTGGCCACTGCCGAGGGCTGGCACGGGAGCTCCGCGAGACCAAGACCTGACAGCCGACCTGACCCCGAGGTAGCTGCGTGATGACCGGCAGGCGGGAACACGCCTGACAGAGGGGGGCGTCACGTCGCCGCAAAGGAGCAGGCTGGCAGATTTCAGTATCCTACTCGGAAGGGCGTGCGGTTTCACACCTACGAATGTTCCCGTTTGCCATATCCAGAGAGCCTGCTTTTTTGTTTGTTTGTTTTTTTTACTCTGGGTTCCCCCTGCAAGAAGACGGGAAGCTCTTCAGGACTAGAACTCGGCGCTGGAGTCGTCACTGAGCGACTCCGGGGAGGAGACCAAACGCCCGCAGCCGTGTTCTAAGGAAAATGAGCACCGACAGTGCAGATGCTTAAAGAAGCACGCCGGCGCCGCGACACTACAGGAGCCCGCGAGTGACCACCGTGGCCGCCGGAGGGAACCAGGCCAGGGCGGCTGAGCGTCTGGTAAGTCCCCAGCAGGGGCCAACTGGCAGAGAAAAGGCCCCGCGAGCCCTGGGGGGCCTGCAGCTCCCGGCGGACCCCCCAAGAGTAAGCGCTCCACTAACCAGCGTGAGGGCACTTCACAAAGACGGGGGCTGAAAGGATGGGGCCACGAGCCAAGGGGCTAGGAGAGCGCTTCCAGGCACGAGTACCCCCCTGGACAGGGCCGAGTGGGCCAAGTGTGTCACACGACGACCACTCACCACCGCTACCAACAGGTGCACAGCCCCAGGGGGCACGGGGAGTAAGGTGCTCCCAGCCTCCCGGGCCCCTGCTCCACTGGCTGCCAGCTGCGCCCGGGAGACCCCCCCAGGAGCTTCCGGCCAGGAGCTGGCGCCCTGCGGAGTTCCCGGGCCTCCCGACCCCACCTGCTCGGGCCTGCACCCAAGTCACTCCTGCTGACACACTTCCTCACGGCCCACGCCCCAGCGCACCCCCGCGGCCCGTGGTTCCCACGGTCTCACAGGAACCTCACTTTTCACCACACAGCGTCCCGTCTCCCTCACTGCAACGCAGGCTCCCCTGGGCAGGGACTGCTTCAGTCATGGCTCTGCCCAGACCTAGACCCGGGCGTGGCTCCCGGTGTGGCCGGAACAAACGTCAGGATGAATGAAAGAAAAACTTCACCCAGCGTGGAGTCGGGTAGGCTGCAAAGCCTGCATCTGAGCCCAGCTTTGTAAATAACCTGCTGTGCTGCCTCGGACGAACCCCGTCACCCTGTGGCGAGGGTGTGGATCAAGTCCCCTTCCACAGGGGCGGCGGGCAGCGCCGGCATCCCACGTGGTTCCAGTCCCGGCTGCCCCTCTTCCAGGCCAGTGAGGGCAGTGGAGGATGGCCCAAATGCTTGGGCCCTGCACCCCATGGGAGACCCAGAAGCAGCTCCGGGCTCCAGATCGGCACAGCTCCGGCTACTGCGGCCAATTGGGGAATGAACCAGCAGATGGAAGCCCTCTCTCTGCCTTTTTTTTTTTTGACAGATAGAGTTAGACAGTGAGAGAAAGAGAGAAAGGTCTTCCTTCCGTTGGTTCACCCCACAATGGCTGCTATGGCCAGCGCGCTGCGCTGATCCGAAGCCAGGAGCCAGGTACTTATCCTGGTCTCTCATGGGGTGCAGGGCCCAAGCACTTGGGCCATCCTCCACTGCCTTCCCGGGCCACCGCAGAGAGCTGGCCTGGAAGAGGGGCAACCGGGGCTAGAACCCGGCACCCATATGGGATGCCGGTGCCGCAGGTGGAGGATTAACCAAGTGAGCCACAGCGCCGGCCCCTACTCTGTCTTTCAAATAAATAAATTTATTAAAAATAAAGATCTGAGGGTGGGTTCCAATTTACCCTAGAGCACTAAAGCTGACCTCACTCCAGTCTCTCCTCGGATCAGGACAGAGCTGCGGGAAGGCGGCTGTTTGACCTAGGAATGAGGCCACTGCTTGGGGTGCGTGCGGCCCACACCGGGCGCCTGGGTGCGAGCCCTGGCCAACTTCCAGCTCACGCAGCCTGGGAGAGGCAGCCGGCTTGGGCCCCTGCACCCACGTGGGAGCCCCAGGGGGAGCTCCTGGCTTCAGCCTGGCCCGGCCCCAGCTGCCGTGGACGTGTGGGGAGCGAAACCCTGAGAGGGAGGCTCTTTCTGCCTGTTTGCCTTTCAAATAAATCAAACGTTGGGGAAGGGGGAATAGCAAAATAAAAAACGCAAAGTGCCCCCCCCAGGGGCGGCCTGACAGCTCCTTTCCCACGCTGCCCACCTGTCAAGCGAGCGAGTCGGCGGTGCCCAGAACGGAGGCCGGAGACCCCTTCGCACTGAGCCACCCGGCCTGGCACCCAGAGCCCCCTCCCGCTTCGCACCCCCGAGGGCCGGCGGGGACCGCACTTCCGGGGCCCCTCGGACTCCGCACTGCCCCCGGGGGGCCCGGTCTGCCGCCTCGACCCCCGCCTACCCCGAGGCCCGCCCACAGGCAGGGGTGCTCCGGGCCTTTCGGATGTGCCCCCGGAGGCCGCTCCGCGGGGGTCCCCATCGCCACCACGGGGACACCGGACGCCCCGGGGACCCTCGGGCCTCCTCAGTACGAGCAAACCCGAGGAACGGGCGCTCCCGGAGCCCTGTCTGTCACCAGGAGCGGGAACCGGGGCGGGGGCGCAAGTCCCCTCCAAGTCCGGCGGCTTCGGGGTCCCCGAGAGGCGGCCCGCCCGCCCGCCCGCCGGGGTCGCGGCCCCCCAAGCCCGGGTCCCGCCCAGGAGCTCGCGCCGCCGCCCTCGCGGTCCGGCCCGCGCTCACCGCCTTCTCCAGGTGGCTGCGCGCCTGCTCGCTGTTCTTGGTGTGGTGGTAGAGCACCGAGCCGAGCTGCAGGTGTGTGCGGGCCTCGATGCGCTGCGGCGGCTTGAAGGGGAACACGGCCTGCAGGCAGTGCACGCACAGGCGGATCTTAGGCGGGCTGGACGTGCGGAAGTGCTCGGCGAAGCCCAAAAGTGCCAGGTACCACGACTCGGCCGCTTCGGCCTGGGCTGCCTGCGCCGCCGCCGCCTGCGCCGCCGCCGCCGCCTGCGCCGCCATTTTGGCCTCCACAACAACAAGCCGCCGCCACAGGGAGGCGGAAGCAGGCGCGCGGGGCGGGGCCGGAGGGCGCTTCACGGCTCTCGCGAGAGCTTCCGCGCAAAGCACCCTAGGACATGTAGTTTGTATCTAGGGCGGCCGCGGCTCTGGGAAGGCATGAGAAAGGCGGCACCGTCAGATCCTCGGGGCGGACGCTTAGACACCGCCGATACTGTGAGGCTTGCATTCCTGCGGGGAAGACTGCAGGCGTCCAGACAGTTGCGGGGCATGTCTGGCCGAAGCCGACTACAACTCCCATCAGGCCATGCGCGCTATAAGAGGTCTCCTCAGGTGGCGCCAGAGCATTGTGGGATTGGATGAGTCTCAAGATGGACAACCGGGATGTTGCAGGTAACAGCCCCTGCCTCCTCTAGGCGCCCGCCTGGGACCTCCGGGCTACTTGTCGCCGCGTTGCCCTCGCCGTCGGCCCAGCCCGCGTCAGCGAACCTCTCGCTTCATTCTCTCGGGCTGCCCAAAGCGGCCGCTTCTGCACTTGCCCGGGCTGCGAGACCCCAGACCCAAGTTGGTCTTGGTTAGCGGAGGACGCCGGGTTTGCCTCGAAGGCCGCCCCGCGGCTCGGCTGTGCGTCAGCTTTCAGGGCTGCTGGGAGCCCCGCTCCCCAAACAGTGTCTGCGCCCCTCTGTCCGGAGCAGCCGCCGTGTCCCCTGCGTCCCCCCTGTGCACGCTTCCCCGAGTCCTTTGAACCCCTCTTTCCCGCTCGCTCCAGAAGGCGCTCACCCATGCAGCTAATAGGGCATGTCGCCGGGTCCCAGGCACCGTGCTAGTCCCGGGCTGCACCGGTGCGGCCGCCAGCCAGCGTCTACAGAGCCGGGATGCTGTGACGACGGGGGGCGGGGCGGGGGGGGGGTGGGCTGACGATGAGGATGGCGGGTGCCGTGGCCCTGGGGTGGCGTGGGGCTTGTGCTTTTCGGACGGAATGGAAGTGGTGGGAGGACGGCCGTTTCTGTCCGGGCCCTGAAAGTGGACTTTTGGGGGTGAGAGTTCAATCCTGAATCCCATCTCGAAGCGTCTTCCGTGTCCACCCTCATCAGAGGATGCCGTCGCCTTTTGCTTAGCAGTAGCCAGCGAGCGTCCTGGGTTCCCTCCCGGTCTTTTTTTTTTTTTTTTTTTTTTTTTTTGACAGGCAGAGTGGACAGTGAGAGAGAGAGAGACAGAGAGAAAGGTCCTCCTTTTGCCGTTGGTTCACCCTCCAATGGCCCCCGCGGCCCGTGCACCGCACTGATCCGATGGCAGGAGCCAGGTGCTTCTCCTGGTCTCCCATGGGGTGCAGGGCCCAAGCACTTGGGCCATCCTCCACTGCACTCCCGGGCCACAGCAGAGAGCTGGCCTGGAAGAGGGGCAACCAGGACAGAATCCGGCGCCCCGACCGGGACTAGAACCCGGTGTGCCGGCGCCTCAAGGCGGAGGATTAGCCTAGTGAGCCGCGGCGCTGGCCCCCTCCCAGTCTTGCAGGCTCTCTGGCCGGAGCAATCACTCAGCCGCCGCTGCGATCTTAAAAAAGACCCGTTGTTGGATTTTTGTCTTTTCCTCTGCTTAAGGCCACCCTGCCACTTCTAAAAGTCCTTGAAAGCAAAACCCAGACTCCCCGCCGTGCCTCTCATCAGCCTGTCCCTGGAGCGGTGTGCTGTGGCCGCCTGCTGGGCCTCAGGTGCACTGGCCCCCTTTCTCTGCCTGGATCTCCATTTGGCTTTTTTTGGATGCTGGTTCCTTAATGCTCAGGCTCTGGCCTCAATGGCCTCCCCCCCGCCCCGGGCCCACTCTTCTTTCTGCCTTTTCTTTGTACAAAAAGCAGAGAGAGAGATAGATCTGTCCATTCCTCATACGCCCACAGCAGCAGTGGAAGGACAGGCTGTGTCCAGTCTCAGTCTTGCATGTGGATGCCAGGGGCCAGACTATTTGAGCCATTGGCGCTGCATCCCAGGGAGGGGACCGGAAGCTGGAATTGGAAACAGAGCCTAATATGGGACGCGGACGCCCAAAGGGTCTCCTCTATGGGTGGCAGGGTCCCAAGCACTCGGGCCATCCTCTGCTGCTGCCCCAGGAGCATGAGGTGGGAGCCGGATCAGAAGTGGAGCCGCCGGGACTGCACCTGGTGCCTGCATGGGATGCCGGCACTGTAGGCGGCGGCTTCACCCACTGCGCCCGGCGCCGGCCCCGCCGGTATCTGCTGAGCACACGAACCCCTGGGTACCCGAGTCCATCTGAGCATCAGCTGTTGTCTGGCCCCACTGCAGGTGTATTCGAGAGGCAGGGCAAGAGAGAAACACACGAAAGAGGCCTCCCATTCGCTGGTTCACTCCCCAGTACCTGCTGACGGCCAGCGCTGGGCCAGGCAGAAGCCAAGAGCCAGGAACTCCACTTGGGTCCCGGCTGAGTAATGGGCCAGCTTCTGCCGCCCCCAGGGTGTGCGTCAACAGGAGGCTGCGTTGGAAGCAGAGTAGCCGGGACTTAACCCCGGCGCTCCCACGTGGGGTGCAGGGGTCCCGCGTGGCGCCGTTCTGATGCGTTCTCCCCCCCCAGGGAAGGCTAACCGGTGGTTTGGGGTCGCTCCCCCCAAGTCTGCAAAGATGAACATGAACACCCTGCACCAAGAAGAGCTCATCGCGCAGAAGAAGCGGGAAATCGAGGCCAGGATGGAGCAGAAAGCCAAGCAGAGCCAGGCGGCCAGCCCTCAGCCCCCGCATCCCGGAGAGTGAGTGCTTCCGGGACCCCGGGGGCTCCAGGGGCAGCACAGGAGTGTGCGTGTGTCGGGGCGGGGGCAGGGCCATAACACAGAGGGAAAAACCAAGTCTCCGTCTCTGCCCGGCTGAGGCTTGGCGTCCACTAGCAGAGAGGGGCCAGCGTCCGGCCCGAGCTGCTGGGCAGTGAGTGGAGGGAGCGCGTTTCCAGGCTGAGCCAGCCCGTTGAGGAAACAGGAAAAGGCCTGCCCGGCCGAGGGCAGGAAGGGGGCCGCGGCTGTGCGTCCACGCTGCGCCGGCCACAGCTGTGTGTCCACACTGGCCGCTGTGCCATGGGGGCCATCATTGAGCAAGGTGGGACGGAGCTCACTCCGAGTTTCCATTTGTCCAGCCTGGGGGCAAGGAAAGGTTTTTATTTTTTATTTTATTTTTAAAAAATTATTTATTTTGAGAGAGGGAGGGACGAAGGGAGAAAAACACATACTCAGGGGGTCTTCTGTCCGCTGGTTCTCTCCCCAGATGGCTGCAACAGCCAGGGCTGGGCCAGGCTGAAGCCAGGAGCCTGGAGCTTCCTCCGGGTCTCCCGTGTGGGTGTCAGGGGTTTGAACACTTGGGCCACCACTGATGACTTTCCCCAGGTGTGTTAGCAGGGAGCTGGGCCAGAAGTGGAGCGGCCGGGACACAAACCGGCCCCGGTACGGGATGCCGGCACCACAGGCCATGGCTCTACCCGCTACACCACAGCACTGGCCCAGGGGAAGGTTTTGAGTAGGAAATGGGGGTGGTGAGACTCCCCAGATTCAGGCTGGAGTCGGGAGCAGAGAGGCAGGCGCCTTCCGCTAGGGTCTGCAGCGTGACGCAAGTTAACCTCCCCCAGGCTCTGCGGGGGGGGGGGGCGGGGGGCGGGGCGGGATTTAGTGCCTAGTTCCTGAAGAACCCGACGGGCACATGACCCGATATGTCACTGAGTGAGCGCCCATGGGCCCGGGGCGGTTATGGAAGGACTTGGGCCTCCCAGAGGACGTCCAGGAGGCAGGAGAATCCCAGCGCCGGGACCTGGCAGCCTGAGGGAAGGAGCGTCAGAGGGGGCAGGAACACGGCGCAGAGGTGGAGCTGTGTTCTCCCCTCCCTGGAAGAGCGCAGGCCCCCAGAGTTAGAATCTGTCGCCGCAGACGTAGGAAGCCTTCAGGTCACCCCAGACAGCTGGTTGGATGCGTGCCCTCTCCCTGTCTTTGCTTTGGTCCCTCACGTGATCAATTTCGTATTGTGCTTTTATCCCCACTTTTTATAATTTATTTATTTGAAAGGCAGAGGTACAGAGAGAATGTGGAGGAGAGAGTCCTCCATCTGTTGGTTCGCTCCCCAAATGGCTGCAACGGCTGGGCCTGGGGCAGGCCAAAGCCAGGAGCGTCTTCCGAGTCTCCCACGTGGACACTGCGGCCCAGGCACTTGGACTGCCCTCTTCCACTGCTCTCCCAGGCACGTTATCAGGGAGCCGGCTTGAAGTGGAGCGGCCAGCACACGAAGTGGTGCCCGTGGGGGATGCCGGCGCTGCAGGTGGCGACTTCGCCTGCGACGCCACAACGCTGGTCCTTAGAAACTGATGACAGGTTGAGCTGCTCTCTCCTGAGAATCGGAAATCCAGGTGCATCGCAGGAGCTCCCCGAAAGGGGCAGATTTCGGAGCCTCTCCGGTCTTGGCATCTTGGGATGCTCAGCTGATAGTCTGTGCCCGGCTTGGAAAACCCCCGGCACTTCCAGCCTCGGGCGTTTCAGATGAGTGACACTTAACACCGTGGCCTGGTGGGGCCTGCAGCCAGGAGCCAGGAACGCGTCCCAGGTGGGGGTGGCAGGTACCCGAGGACCTGAGCCGTCGCCTGTGGCCTCTCGGGGCACTGTAAACAAGAAGGCAGAACCAGGAGCAGAGCTAGACCTTGAACTCGGGCCCTCTCCCGCAGCGCTTGGGCGTCTCCAGCGCCTTGCCCACCAGGCTGAGTGCCCGCCTGGGGTGCCGCACACTGAGTCACTCTGGGTAAATGCGGTGTGAGCTGTTGTCCCCCGTGTCGTGTGGGGAGTGGCGACAGGAGCAGGAGTGTCCCGATGTCGGGGCAGAGGCAGGGTTTTTTTCCCAAACGCTGTTGACCTGTGATTGGTTGGCTTCCCCTGACGCGGAACCAGCAGGGGTCCAGGGCCGCCTGTTGGTGGGGGGAGATGGCGCCGGGCCTTTGCCTCTGCTCCGTAGGTCTGTTTGTTTACATTTCCATTTGTCCCGTAAGGATTCCTCTGTTACTGATAGGACGGGCACTGACAGGAACCCGGAACTGCGCGTGTCGGCGCTGGGGTTGCTTTGTGCCGCTGTGTTAAAGCAGCTTTCTAAGAAGAGGTTTTTAGAAGGGATTGGCCATTTCTTTACCACCTACTAGAAAGGCAGAGCCGTAGGGGCTCGCGCTGCGGTGTAGTGGGCTAGGCCTCTGCCCGCCAGTTCCAGTCCCGGCTGCCCTACTTCCCATCCAGCTCTCTGCTGTGGTCTGGGAAAGCAGCAGAAGATGGCCCAAGTGCTTGGGGCCCTGCACCAGCGTGGGAGACCTGGAAGAAGCTCCTGGCTTCGGATTGGCCCAGCTCCAACTACTGTGGCCATTTGGAGAGTGAATCAGCGGATGGAAGACCTTTGTCTCTGTTTCTGTAACTCTGCCTCTCAAATAAATAAATAAATCTTAAAAACGAATAAAAAACATTGGGGGCCGGCGCTGTGGCTCACTTGGTTAATCCTCCGCCTGCGGCACCGGCATCCCATATGGGCGCCGGGTTCTAGTCCCGGCTGCTCCTCTTCCAGTCCAGCTCTCTGCTGTGGCCTGGGAGTGCAGTGGAGGATGGCCCAGGTGCTTGGGCCCTGCACCCCATGGGAGACCAGGAGGAAGCACCTGGCTCCTGGCTTCGGATCAGCGCAGCACCGGCCGTAGCAGCCATTTGGGGGGTGAACCAACGGAAGGAAGACCTTTCTCTCTGTCTCTCTCTCTCTCACTGTCTGTAAGTCCACCTGTCAAATAAATAAATAAATATATTTAAAAAAAGAAAAAAAAAGAAAAAAGAAAGAGCGCCATAGAGGTCTTCCATCCACTGATTTGTTCCCCAGATGCCCACAAAACCGGGTGACACCAAGAGCCAGGAACTCCATCTGAGTCTCCCACGTGGCGGCAGGGTCTCAGGCACTAGGGCCGTCACCGGTTGCCTCCCCAAGCACATTAGCAGGGAGCTGGATCGGGAGTGCTGCAGCAGGGGGGAAGCAGGCCTCTCAGGCAGCAGCTTACCCCAGTGCACCACACACCTGCCCTGAGACAATGCAAGGAAAAGGCAGGCTTTGCAAAACAAAAAACCAACAACGTAGCAACCTGAAGTTCCCCTGCACTTCTCCCACTAAGAGATCCTTTGCCTGTGTCCTGTGAGCAGTGTCCTGTCCCACAGAGCTGCTGCCAGCCCAGGCGCCGGGCCTCAGGTGCTCAGGGGTCAAGACCACACGGGCCCTGTTTCTGAAGTCCGGCTGGGGCGGCATCCGTAGCCGCGGGGCGGGGTGGGGGTGGGGCTAGACTTTCCCCTCTGGGGGCCTTGTCCAGAGCATGCCACCCAGTTCCCAGGTGTCTGTGGGAAGGCGCTCTCTGACAAGGCTGACAAACGCACCTGTTACCCAGCCTGGTCCAGGTTGGGGTCCCACAGCAGAAGCCCCTCTGGGCTGCGATACTGCCAGCCTCCGGAGCCGTCTGCGCTGCTCCAGGTGCTGAGGGGGCCCGTGGTGGGAGGGGCGGGCTCACTGAGACGCTGTGAGCTCCCTCTATGTTTAAGTCAATATTCTGGGTAAGTTTGGGGGTTAGAACCGGAAAGAAATCAAGAGAAATGAGGAGGAAAAGAAAACCAACTTGGATAGTTTGGTAACAACAGGTAGGACGGGTGCTGTGCGGGAGAGCGGTGCTGGGGGCCGTCGAGTCCAGAGGATCCGTATTCGGGCAGAAATCTTAAAAGTATACACAATGCACACAGTGTTAATCTTTTTTTTTTTTTTTTTTTTTTATTATTATTAGGGAGGTAGAGTTACAGAGAGAGAGAGGTCTTCCATCCGCTGGTTCACTTCCCAGATGGCCACCATGGCCAGAGCTGTGCTGATCTGAAGCCGGGAGCCAGGAGCTGCTTCTGGGTCTCCCACGCGGGTGCAGGGGCCCACGCACTTGGGCATCTTCTACTGCTTTCCCACCATAGCAGAGAGCTGGATGGGAAGTGGAGCAGCCGCACTCAAACCAGCACCCGTATGATGCCGCCGCTGCTGATGGGGGCTTAGCCCACTACGCCATGGCGCTACCCCCCTCCCCCCCCCGCAGTGTTAATCTTTTCCGAGCCAGGTTGTGCCCAGCTTTCTAAGCAGTTGTGGGTGTGCTCAGCAGTTGCTCCCAGATGCCTCGGGGGGTTGGTTTTGGGTCCCGCCGGGACCACAGCGAGCGAGGCGTCAGCCTCGTCCCAGGGGCTCCCCGGCCCACTCACTCGTCTGTCCTCTGTCTTGCTTGCAGAGTCGCGAACGCACACAACTCTTCCTGCGTCTCTAACAAATTCGCCAATGACGGCAGCTTCTTGCAGCAGTTCCTGAAGTTGCAGAAGGCACAGACCACCACAGGTGAGCACCACACCCCCCATGACCCGCCACCTCCACCCTGAGCGTCCCAGGGCGCTCCATAATGCACCCCACCCCCCATGACCCGCCACCTCCACCCTGAGCGTCCCAGGGCGCTCCATAATGCACCCCACCCCCCATGACCCGCCACCTCCACCCTGAGCGTCCCCGGGTGCTCCATAATGCACCACACCCCCCATGACCCGCCACCTCCACCCTGAGCGTCCCGGGCGCTCCATAATGTACCACACCCCCCATGACCCGCCACCTCCACCCTGAGCGTCCCAGGGCGCTCCATAATGTACCACACCCCCCCCCCCCATGACCCGCCACCTCCACCCTGCGCGTCCCAGGGCGCTCCATAATGTACCACACCCCCCCCCCCATGACCCGCCACCTCCACCCTGCGCGTCCCAGGGCGCTCCATAATGTACCACACCCCCACCCATGACCCGCCACCTCCGCCCTGAGTGTCCCAGGGTGCTCCATAATGTACCACACACCCCATGACCCGCCACCTCCGCCCCGAGCGACCCGGGTGCTCCATAATGTACCACACACACACACACCCCCCATGACCCGCCACCTCCACCCTGAGTGTCCCAGGGTGCTCCATAATGTACCACACCCTCCCCCACCATGACCCGCCACCTCCGCCCCGAGCAACCCGGGCCCACCCCTGAGCGTCCCGGGTGCTCAATAATGCACCCCCCCCATGACCCGCCACCTCCGCCCCGAGTGTCCCGGGTGCTCCATAATGTACCACACACACACACACACACACACACACCCGCCATGACCCGCCACCTCCACCCCGAGCGTCCCTGGGCCCACCCCTGAGCGTCCCGGGTGCTCCATAATGCACCACACCCCCCATGACCCGCCACCTCCACCCCTGAGCGTCCCCGGGTGCTCCATAATGCACCACACCCCCCATGACCCACCACCACCTCCCCGAGTGTCCCCGGGCGCTCCATAATGCACCCCACCCCCATGACCCACCACCACCACCACCCCGAGTGTCCCCGGGTGCTCCATAATGCACCCCACCCCCATGACCCACCACCACCACCACCCCGAGTGTCCCCGGGTGCTCCATAATGCACCCCACCCCCATGACCCGCCACCACCACCCTGAGTGTCCCCGGGTGCTCCATAATGCACCCCACCCCCATGACCCACCACCACCACCCTGAGTGTCCCCGGGTGCTCCATAATGCACCCCACCCCCATGACCCACCACCACCACCACCCCGAGTGTCCCCGGGTGCTCCATAATGCACCCCACCCCCATGACCCACCACCACCACCCCGAGTGTCCCCGGGTGCTCCATAATGCACCCCACCCCCATGACCCACCACCACCTCCCCGAGTGTCCCCGGGTGCTCCATAATGCACCCCACCCCATGACCCACCACCACCACCACCCCGAGTGTCCCCGGGTGCTCCATAATGCACCCCACCCCCATGACCCACCACCACCTCCCCGAGTGTCCCCGGGCGCTCCATAATGCACCCCACCCCCATGACCCACCACCACCACCACCCCGAGCATCCCCAGGTGCTCCATAATGCACCCCACCCCCATGACCCACCACCACCACCCCGAGTGTCCCCGGGTGCTCCATAATGCACCCCACCCCCATGACCCACCACCAGCACCCCGAGTGTCCCCGGGCGCTCCATAATGCACCGCCGCCCCCTCCCCAATGCCCCGCCAGCACCGCCGAGCGTCCCGGCGCTCCAGAATGACAGGTCCCGGCTCAGACTCATCCACCCCCGCCCCAGATCCCCTGGAGGCAGAGGTGTTCCTCTCGCTCTGGGTGCCTACACTGTGGGGACAGACACAGTCTGTGGGGAGCTGGGGCCGGGATCGAGCGTCCCCCAGGCCCGCGGGACCATGGAGAGCAGACAGCAGAGTGTGAGGCGGGTGTCCCCAAGCTGGGTTGCCCAGTCCCCCCGTGTGGTCCAGCTGGGCCTTCTGCCATCGGGCTGTGCGCGGGTGCCTGGCTGGCCTGAGCCGCTCCAGAGAAGAGCAGGTTTGGGGGCTAGCTGTGGCTGGGGTGCAGGGTGGGAGGCAGCGGCCTGGAGGTCACGCTGTGGCTGGGGTGCAGGGTGGGAGGCAGCGGCCTGGAGGTCACGCTGTGGCTGGGGTGCAGGGTGGGAGGCAGCGGCCTGGAGGTCACGGGGATGCCTGATTGTCACTGGGGTCCCGGTGTTGACCAGCGCTGCCCCTGTGCCGGGGAATGCGGTGGCCCCGGTGCAGCAGGTGACCCCCATCCCGTGGCCGCGTCCTCAGAGGATCCTGACGCAGGGGGCGTACACGGGAGAATTCCCGCATGAGGCAGTCAGCCCACGAGTCCCCACATCCGCAGGTTCCAGCCACAGGTGGGAAGTAATTCCAAGGAAGGAGGGCGCGTCGGTGCCGAGCACAGCCATGCTCGCGCCCTGTCGCTGTTCCCCAAGCCGTGCTGCGTGTGAGCCGTGTGCACGGCGTCTGCGTCGCCGTCACTGTCCACAGTCGCCTGCAGGAGGGCCCCACAGGTCCCGCGCAGGTGGCCACGCCGTCGGAGGGGCTCTGGAGCCGATCACTCCCAGACACCGAGGGGACGACCGAACTCCTGATCTTTTCATTTAATAACACAAACAGCACAGGAAGTTGTCGTACCCCCCACAGGCCCCCGTCCATTACAGGAAACAGCGGGTGACACATGGCTGTGTGTCTGACGGTCCCGTTGTGGTCCCCTCCCTCTCGGGCGTGTTTTCAGAGGTCTGACCCTTCACCCACCTGATCACACACTACTTTGTGCCTCTGTGTGGCTCGTTCCACACAGATCCCGGCCTCAATCCTGCTGTTATAAGCAGAGTGTAGCTGGCCACCTTCCACCTTGCTACTTATTTGAAAGACAGAGAGAGGTCTTCCACCTGCTGGTTCACTCCCCCAGTGCCCACAGCAGCCAGGCCTGAGCCAGGCCACAGTGAGGAGCCTGGAGCTCCATCCGGGTCTCCTGCGTGGGTGGCAGGTGGGTTGCTTTCCCAGGAGCATTAGCAGGCAGCTGCATCAGAAGTGGAGCCTCTGGACCTCGAGCCAGCGCGCGCACCAGATGCTGGCGTTGGAGGCAACAGCTTGATGAGGCCGGGGCCAGCGCCATGGGCACATACGGGCACTGGCTCTGGTCCCGGCTGCCCCACTTCTGATCCAGCTCCCTGCTGTTGCGCCTGAGAAAGCAGCGGAGGGTGGCCCGAGTGGTTGGACCCCTGCCCCCACGTGGGAGACCTGGGCGGAGCAGCTGGCTCCTGGCTTTGACCTGGCCCACTCCTGGCCGTTGTGGCCATCTGGGGAGTGGACCAGCAAATGGAAGATCTCTGTCTCTGTCTCTCCCTCTCTGTAATCTAGAACTCTGATTTTCAAATAAGTAAATAAAGATGAGACCAGAGTGCAAAACCAGCCTGAGCGGTAGCTGAGGGACCCCCATCCCGCGGCCAGGGTCCGGGGGTGCCGGCGCTTCTCGGTGCTGCTCCCCCTGCCCTCAGACTCCCCCTCTCCACCCCACCCCCTCGCTGTGAGCGCTCTTGCCCCTGTGGGTTCTGGGAGACAGGGGCTTGGCTTGGAGGAGACTTGGGGACAGCGTCCTCCGTCCATGCCCCCCAGGGGGTTCTCAGCCTTCGGCCACAGAACATGTCCCCAGGGCGTGCTTCCCACCTGGGCTGGGTACCCCCTGAGTGACCCTCAGGCTGAGCCCTGGGTCCTCGCTGTCAGACGAGGGTGGCCTCCACCCTGGGCACAGAGAGCTAAGGCACCGAGAGGCGGCCATGCCCCGGCCCTGGGCCTGAGCGCACCTCTCCTTCCTTCTATCCCAAGACGCCGCCGCCAGCACAGCCGGCGCCCCTCCCAGCACACCCCCGCCCAGCGCCGGCAAGAGGCCCCTGCTGCTCGGCAAACGTGCGGGCCTGGGGCTGGGCGGCGCCCCGGGCCAGGTGAGGAACTACTCGCACGCCAAGCAGCTGCCCGTGGCCCAGCGGCCCAGCGTCTTCCAGTCCCCCGATGAGGACGAGGAGGAGGACTACGAGCAGTGGCTGGAGATCAAAGGTGAGGCCTGGGGCCGTCCTCCCCGCCACCCCCACCCAGGCAGGTCCGCTGTCAGAGGGGCAGGAGGGGTCTGGGCTGCGGGCCAGGAACCGGGCCCCAGGGGCGTCTCCCACGTCAGGGCACAGCGGGAGCCCCGTGCTGTCATGGAGGGCTCCTCCCCAAGCAGGGCGGGGCGTGCGGCCCTTCTGGGGTGCGTTCGCTCACGGCCCTTCTTGTCCAACACGAGGAGAGCTTCCGAGGCTGCCTGCCCCTGCCCCCGTGCCTCCAGGCCCCACGTGGCTCCTCGGGGGTTTCCTGTCCCCGCCACGCTGGGCCCGGGTCCGAGCCGCCCAGGCGGGAGGGCCCTCTCCGGCTCCCCGGTGAGCTTGTCCACACCCTGCAGGGTAGAAAGGCGAAGGGCAGTGTGGCCCACACTCCTGGTGAGTCCCTTCTCGTCCACCTTCTGCCCACGTGAGGGCTGGCCAGCGTGGCGTGGGCCGATGAGGGGACCGTGGAGTTGGGCAGAGCAGGCCCAGCCTGGCCCCCGGGGATCCAGAGGAGCCAAGGCTGGAGGGTGTCCCCTCCAAAGGGGTGCACCTGCTGGGAACACCCTTACGAGGGGCAGCAGGCATCCCAAGGCCTTATCCATGTGGCCTTAGAAGCGTACCTGCCCCTGTGTACGGGACCCGGATTGGGATTGCCGCTGGGTGTGTGGGAGGAGGATGGGAGGGGGATGGGGGGCGCCCCTGGGACCTCACAGGAGCCCCGCCTTGGGCCACGCGTCCCAACCCCTGACCCTAAGCGTCGCGACAGCCCGAGCAACAAGGCGAATGAGATTAGCCGCAGGTTCAGCACCTTAGCCTGGCCGCCAGACGCCGGCTGACAGCGAGAAGTTTGTCCTGCGAGTCTCATCAATGTGTGATCCACCCGGGGGCGGGCAGACGCAAGCTCCTCCCGGCTCCCGGCTCCCGGGGGAGGCTGACCCGTCTGTACCCGTGTGCTCTTGTAGCCCTGCTCACTGACGAGGCCCCGAGTAAAGGTTAAGCCCGGGACAGTGAGCGCCCCTAGCGCCCAGCTGGCGGCCCGGAAACAGTTTCTCACCCACGGAGACCAGGACTTCTCGGAGACATGGCTGGCTCTAGGCCTGGGCAGGAAGTGTGTGAGATGATCCTGGAGGCGCCGTGTCCCGGCGGATGGCGAGGCCAGCAGAGACTCCTGGGGTCATGTCCCAGGCTCCCGGCAGCCGGCTTGAAGAGGCTCCACCGGCCGCGGAGCTCCTGTGATGGCGTTAAATGCAGTGGATTGAAACGCGCCCAGTGCGTTTAAACCCGAGTTCCGTAACGCTATTTAAAAACAAAAACAATTGGCCATCTTTGGAGGATAAAAGGGAACTGATGTGTTATACTGAGAACTGGTAAATAAAGAAAAGAATTAACCGTTTGTCCCCCCGGCCCCCCCAAAAGGAACAGGGAAGGCTGGACGCTCCCCAGCGGCTCACTCCCTGCCTGGGGTGGATGCGGCCTTGGGGAAGGCTCTTGGCCTCCCTCGCGGCCGGGGTGTCTCTCAAAGACTGTTGAGACCGCTGTCCCCCGTCGTCACCTTTGCCTGGAGCTGGAGCGCCCGGCCAGCTCCCACATCTCACGCTGTTCTCCCCCACCCCCTCTGTCGTTGCGGTCCATAGAGAGAGTGTGCCTAGTGACTGTGGGGTGTGTGAGTTGAACCCCAGTACTGACAGCCTCCTTAAAGTTTCACCCCCAGAGGGAGCCGAGACTCGGAAAGTGATAGAGAAATTGGCCCGCTTTGTGGCAGAAGGAGGCCCCGAGTTAGAAAAAGTAGCTATGGAGGACTACAAGGATAACCCAGCGTTTGCGTGAGTACCCAGGGCCGGGGCAGAGGTGGGGGCGGGGTGCCAGGGCTGGTGCCTGTGTCTGCCGTGCAGCCGCATGTGGGTGTGCCCATGAGCCAGAGATCTCCCCTCTACTGGGTCACCCCCTAGATGCCCTCAACGGCCAGGCTGGGCCAGGCCGCGTCAGCAGTGAGGTGCTCCATCCGGGTCTCCCACATGGGTGGCAGAGACCCAAGTATTAGCCATCACCACTGCCTGCCAGGGTGTGCGTCACAGGGTATGTGTCCAGCAGGAAGCTGGAGCCAGGAGTGGAGCTGGGACTTGAACCCCTGGGCACTCTAGTGTGGAACGCGGGCGTCCCAAGGGGTGGTTTCGTTTGTTTGTTTTTAAGATTTATTTATTTGAAAGGCAGAGTTGCAGAGAGAGGATGAGAGACAGGGTGAGAGAGGCCTTCCATTCGCTGGTCACTCCCCAAATGGGCACAATGGCCAGGGCTGAGCCAGAGTGGAGCCAGGAGCCAGGACCTTCCGGGTCTCCCACGTGGCTGCGGGGGCCCAAGGACTTGGGTCGTCCTCCACTGCTTTCCCAGGCGTTAGCAGGGAGCCTGATGGGAAGTGGAGCAGCTGGGGCTCGAACCAGCACCCGTAGGAGGCTGGCATCGAAGGCGGTGGCTTCACCTGCTACGCCACAGCACAGCCCTCGATGGCACCAAACAGCAGCCACCCCCGGGGCCCCTGTGTGGCTTGAGGAGGCCACAGCAGCCTTGTCCTGCATGGTGCACGCTCTCGGGCCCTCTCCGGGGCTGGTCCCCGACGCTCACTTCCTGCCCCGCGCGTCTCCTCCTCTGCAGGTTTTTACACGATAAGAATAGCAGGGAATTCCTCTACTACAGAAAGAAGGTGGCTGAGATGAGGAAGGAGGCGCAGAAGTCCCAGGGAGCCTCTCAGAAAGGTAGGGGGGCCGGGGGTGGGGGAGGGGCCGCTGGGCATACGGAGCCCCATGGCGCAGTCGGGGTCCCAGGAGGCCACTGTGGTGTGGGGTGGCGCTGCCCAGCCCCAGGCCGCTGCGGGTGCTCTGGGGGCGGGGTTGGTGCCACCCGTCCCGCCATTGTTCTGAGGCCCGGCACGCAGTGGGCACGAGCTGGGTCAAGGCCATGGGTGTTTTAAAGGGGCAGAGGGAGCTTTCCCTCTGGTTGGCGTCTTTTTGATAAAGCACCAAGGAGCCCCGGCTTCGTGCGGACGCGCGAGACAGGCGTAGCGCCTGACGCCATCGGGGCAGAGCAGAACAGAGCGGTCAGCTGGGGGGTTGTGACAGGATGACCGTGGGGCTAGAGGGTGCCGGCCAGTCTCCAGCTGCATTGGCCCCAAGGCCCAGCCCCGTGCTGGTGGGTCGCGGCAGGATGGGGCCGTGGGAGTTCGCTCATTTTGCCCCCCCCATCATCGTGCCTCGGCGCTGGGGAGGGGGGCAGCTCCCAGCATAAAGGTTGAGAGTGGGGCCCCTGTGTCCCCCCCAGACCCACCGCAGGTTTCATCCTTTGTCTTAGCTCACGGCCTGGGCGGGGGGGTGGGGTGGGGTGGGGAGGGAGGGGGTGGGCCGGAGTTCGGGATTTGTGTTGGTGTTTGGTCCAGTGCAGTAACCTGACTCCCGCTTGCCTGTCTCTCTTTGCATCGCTCCTCAGTAACCCGCGCGGTGCCGCGGGGCTCTTAGCAGACGCGAGGCTGTGGGTGCGGTGCTTTGAGCTCGGTACTGACAGCCTCCTTAAAGTTTCACCCCCAGAGGACCAGGAGGCCAAGAGCCTCGCAGAAAAGCTGGCCAGGTTCATAGCGGACGGGGGTCCCGAGGTGGAAACCATCGCCCTCCAGAACAACCGCGAGAACCAGGCATTCAGGTGAGGGGGCGGGGACCCCCACCCGGACCCCGGGCCTGCAGCCCCCGGGAGTTTCCTTGTTGCCCTGTGACGTCTGAGGCAGACGCACGGGGCCCTGGGAGCCTCGGTTCTCCACCTCACATGGCAGCCGCCCGTCCCTGTGTGTGACCGAGGTTGGTGGCCAGCGTGCGGGTTCCACCGAGGGCCTCCCTGCTGTCCCAGCCCGGGCCCGAGGGCTGAGCTCTGTGCCCACTCAGCCCGTTCATTCATCGGCTCGGCGTCCGCTCTGGACAGGGCTGGTACAGGGAGGCCGGCAGGTGCCTGGGAGCTGGGTGCTGAGCCTGCGTGGCCTTACCACATGACCCCAGGCAGATCCTCCCCCCTCTGCCGTGGATGGACTGTTGGCTTGGGACCTGCGCAGTCCTCAGAGATGCCACCAGGTGCCAGAGTACCAGTGGCCTCTGCTGCCCCACACGTGGCCCCTGTCCCGGTGCCAGCTGCCTAGGCTGGGTGGGGACCAGGGGACCCCTGGCTACCCGGGAGGCGTGGGCTTCCGCCTCAAGGCTTCCTGCCCCCAAGCTGGTCTTGGAGTCCGGCTTCCTGGGCTGTTGTGGCGGTCAGTGTACCTGTTTCGGCCCTGTTGGGTGCATCCGAGGAGCTGCGCGGTCGGGGACACGCCCTCTGCCCTGTCAGGCACCTGTGTCCCGTGTCCCACCCCCTCCCCGCTCAGTTCAGGCTTCTCGGCGAGAAGGCACCGCTTTTCTCGGGCGTTGAGGAAGGTCCCGGGAGCACCCACCCCTTTGGCTTCAGAGCAGGGTGATGGGCGCCCAGTGGAGGCTCAGAGGGACCCCCGGCACGAAGGAAGGGCACCGTGAGCGGCGGGGAGCTGCAGAGCCAGCCGCCCCCGAGGCCTGGCAGGCGGGAGGTGTGGGGCTGGACACGTTACCTGGCCCTGGGCGGACAGGTCCAAGCCGCTTCTGCGCATGCGCAGACTTGGGCAGGGGCCCCGGCTCAGCTGACGGGCATCGGCCTTGCTCCTTTGCAGCTTTCTGTACGAACCCAACAGCCAGGGGTACAAGTACTTCCGGCAGAAGCTAGAGGAGTTCCGGAGCGCCAAGGCCGGCTCCACAGGCACCCCCCCAGCACCTGAGCCCAGCCCGAAGCACACGTCCCCTCCTGACGCCCCGTCGGGGGCCTCGCCCCCTGCCGCCACCTGCCCCACCTCATCCGCCCCCGCGCCGGCCGCCGCCCCCGCGCCGGCCGCCCCCGGGAAGCCGGCCTCCGCCACGGCCGCCGTGAAAAGAAAGCGGAAGAGCAGGTGGGGGCCCGAGGAGGACAAGGTGGAGCTCCCCCCTGCGGAGCTGGTGCAGCGAGAGGTGGACGCCTCGCCCTCGCCTCTGTCAGGTGGGTCGCCGGCCCCTCCCCCGTCGTCAGAGGGCGGGGCCCAGCGCCAAGGTTGCAGGCTCCATCCGTGTTGGAGCGTGCGCGGAGTTCCGTCCCCTGGTGGCTGGGCCCCTTGGGTGTGCACACAGGGTGAGTAGCACAGGCGTGCTGGCCGTCAGATTTTGGGTGTTTTTTTTGGGGGGGGGAGGGCTGAGGCTTGGAATACTTGCATGATGAGAACTTGGAGGTGGAAGTGTAAATAGGAAATCGCTTAGGTTTCCTGTGTACCTTATACCCATAGCCTGAAGGTAGGTTTTTAAAAATTCATTCGTTGTTTGTTAGAAAGGCAGAGTGACAGGGAGACAGATCCTCCATCCACTGGCTCACGCCCCAGGTGCCCTCAGTAGCCAGGGCTGGAGCAGGGTCCAGCAGCTTCATCCAGCTCTCTCCTGTGGGTGGCGGGGCCCCCAGTCCTCGAGCAGGAGCTGGAATTGGCCCAGGTACTCAGATCAGGGGCGCAGGCGCGCGCGCGGGGCCGGCCCAGCTCTGCGGGCGCCCAGCCCTCTCGGGTTGCTGAGTCTCTGCCACGGGGAGGGGCGAGATCTTCGCAGTAGGACGACCCCGTGTTGTTCTTTCCCCTTCAGACTGTTGGTTTTTTCTAGATTTATTTATTTGAAAGATTCACAGGGAGGCAGAGGTAGAGAATCAGAGATTTTCCATCCACTGGTTCACTCCCCAAATAACCACAACGGCCGGAGCTGCACCAGTCTGAAGCCAGGAGCTTCTTCCCGGTCTCCCACAGGGGTGCAGGGGCCCAAGAAATTGGGCCATACTCCGCTGCTTCTCCGGGGCCTCCCGCCCGAGCAGGGCCGTGGCTCCTGTTCCTGCCCCTGGGGCTTCCCCCTGTGCCCCCGGGGGGGTTGCAGTGCAGTTGTGGGGCCAGGGAGCAGCCGTGGGCGGGTCTCAGGGGCGAGCCCCCAGCCCTGGCGGACATGGAGGACTGGGTTCCTCTCCCCCCTCCCAGAGGGGCCTCTCTGTCCTGGCTTCTTCCCGGGACAACCAGCCTCCCAGGGGGCGTTGCTTCCGCCACCCCGCTGGGGCCATCGCGCGCCTTCACGCAGATCCGTGTCGCCGGCCCAGTTACAGGCCGGCTGCCTCCCCCGAAGGAGCAGACTCCCAGTCCTCGTGCGTCTGTGCCAGCTGTCGGCAGCAGCCTGCCTTCCGGGAGCAGTGCGCGCGAGTGGGCGCACACCGCGTGGGTCCCTGGCCCTGCCAGGGTGTGGCTCTGAGCCTGGTTCCTGGAGTCTGCGTCTGGGATGCGAGGGGCCGCATAGAGGGAAAGGAAACACGGTGCCCGTGACCTCACGTGGCGTGTGACGCTGGGGTGTTGTGCGACCGGTTGAGTCACTGACGCCAGCTTCTCATATCAGAGAGCTGGTTCAAGTCCCAGCTCCCACGCGTCCAACCTAGGTTCCTGCGCATGCGCCCGGGAAGTCAGCCAGGGGCGACCTGGCCCCATAGGCATTTGGGGAGTGAACCAGCCGGTGGGAGATAGGCGCCCCCCCCCCCAATTCTGCCTTTCTAGTGGATGAAAGGAAATCCTAATGAGCATTTAAAAGATGACGGCACAGTGGTAGCGGTCCCGTCCTCAGCCCCGCTCTGCTGCGGACCCTGCAGCAGGCGGGGAGCTCCCGGGATCGGGGCCACGCCGCTGACCGTCCTGTGCCCTTGGTTTCCAGTTCAGGACCTCAAGGGGCTCGGCTACGAGAAGGGGAAGCCCGTGGGTCTGGTGGGCGTCACGGAGCTGTCAGACGCCCAGAAGAAGCAGCTGAAGGAGCAGCAGGAGGTGGGCCGCTGGGGCAGCCGGGGGTGCCGGGGGCAGCCCGAGGTGCGGCAGGCACAGTGCGCACTTCCGCGGCTCCGTCTGCTCCCGCGGTCTGTGCGGGCCGCCTGGTTGGTGCCGGGGCGCGTCCGCCGGGCCCCCTCTGAGTGGCGCCCCCTGCCGTGCGGCCCCGCAGATGCAGCAGATGTACGACATGATCATGCAGCACAAGCGGGCCATGCAGGACATGCAGCTGCTGTGGGAGAAGGCGCTGCAGCAGCACCAGCACGGCTACGACAGCGACGAGGAGGTGGACAGCGAGCTGGGCACCTGGGAGCACCGGCTGCGCCGCATGGAGATGGACAAGACGCGGGGTGGGCCGAGCCCGGCCGCGGGCGCGGGGCGGGGGCGGGGGGGCGGTGTGTGCCGGCCTGGCGTGCGGGCGCCCCGCAGGGCCGCCTGGGTGACGGGTGTGGGGTGTGGATCGTCCCCCGGGGGCCTCGCCCCCTCTCGCCGGCGCTCACCCTCCCCACCTCCGCAGAGTGGGCCGAGCAGTTGACCAAGATGGGCCGGGGCAAGCACTTCATCGGAGACTTCCTGCCACCCGATGAGCTGGACAAATTCATGGAGACCTTCAAGGCGCTGAAGGTGAGCGGGGGGGCCCCTCCCGAGGGGCCTGAGGTGCCCCCCACGCTCTCAGCAGGCGCGGGAGGCATCTGTGACAGACGCCGTCTTGGGGGGCAATTGGCAAACGGCAGCTCAGCTGCTGCTACGGAACCATCTCCCGGGCTGCGGCTGGGGAGTTGGGAAGCTTCCAGTGGAGCCAATTAAGTGCAGCTTCCAGGCCGAGCGTGTCTCGGGGCCAGGCTTCGAGGCCTCTCCAGAACCGAGCCAGAGCTGAGCACGCCACCCCGCCGCCCTCGGGCTGGGTCCTGCTGGCCCGCAGAGGCCGCTGGGCCGGCCCCGCCCACACCTCCCCCAGTGAGCTGGCAGCCTCGTGGGCCGTAGCTCTAGAACACTGCTGACGGATTGGCTCTGCCAGCAAGAGCGCGGGGCTGCTTGGCCTTTATTTTCATTTATCTCAAAGGCCAGAGAGACGGAGCGAGATCTCCCCTCTGCTCGCTCCCCACATGCCTGCCACAGCGGGGGCCGGGCCAGGCCAGCCTGGGAGCCCGGTACCCAATCCAGGCCTCCGGCATGGTGGCAGAGACCTTCAGGCACGGGGACCAGTGCTGCCCACTGTCTCCCATGGTGCCCCTGAGCAGGAAGCCGGAATAGGGGAGTGGAGCCAGGACTCACCCAGACACTCGGACGTGGGCCCCGGGCGTCCTGAGTAGTGTCCTAACCACTGGGCCAGGTGGCCGCCCCCACACTGGCTTCCCTCGCTGCTAAAGCGTTAATGTTGCCCATGGTAGACAAGGCCTGTGTGGCTCGTCCCCGGGCGCCTTTGGACCCCAGGCAGGAGGAGGGGAGCTGGGTCCATGAGGGGTCTGGCTTGGTGGGCAGGCGTCCCCTGAGGCCAAAGGCAGGGGTCAGCCGTGGCCGTGGTGGGTGCCAGCTGCCGCCGCCTCCCGCAGGAGGGCCGCGAGCCCGACTACTCGGAGTACAAGGAGTTCAAGCTGACCGTGGAGAACATCGGCTACCAGATGCTCATGAAGATGGGCTGGAAGGAGGGCGAGGGGCTGGGCTCCGAGGGCCAGGGCATCAAGAACCCGGTCAGCAAGTGAGTGGGGTCCGGGGGAGGCTGGAGGCGGGGACAGAGCCACGGGGCAGCAAGTGAGTGGGGTCCGGGGGGCTGGGGGCGGGGACGGAGCCACGGGGCAGCAAGTGAGTGGGGTCCGGGGGGCTGGGGGCGGGGACGGAGCCACGGGGCAGCAAGTGAGTGGGGTCCGGGGGGGCTGGGGGCGGGGACGGAGCCACGGGGCAGCAAGTGAGTGGGGTCCCGGGGGGCTGGGGGCGGGGACAGAGCCACGGGGCAGCAAGTGAGTGGGGTCCGGGGGCTGGGGCGGGGACGGAGCCACGGGGCAGCAAGTGAGTGGGGTCCGGGGGGCTGGGGGCGGGGACAGAGCCACAGGGCAGCAAGTGAGTGGGGTCCAGGGGGGCTGGGGGCGGGGACAGAGCCACGGGGCAGCAAGTGAGTGGGGTCCGGGGGGGGGCTGGGGGCGGGGACAGAGCTACAGGGCAGCAAGTGAGTGGGGTCCTGGGGGGGGCTGGGGGCGGGGACAGAGCTACAGGGCAGCAAGTGAGTGGGGTCCGGGGGGCTGGGGGCGGGGACAGAGCCACGGGGCAGCAAGTGAGTGGGGTCCGGGGGGCTGGGGGCGGGGACAGAGCCACGGGGCAGCAAGTGAGTGGGGTCCGGGGGGCTGGGGGCGGGGACAGAGCCACGGGGCAGCAAGTGAGTGGGGTCCGGGGGGCTGGGGGCGGGGACAGAGCCACGGGGCAGCAAGTGAGTGGGGTCCGGGGGGCTGGGGGCGGGGACAGAGCTACAGGGCAGCAAGTGAGTGGGGTCCGGGGGGCTGGGGGCGGGGACAGAGCTACAGGGCAGCAAGTGAGTGGGGTCCGGGGGGCTGGGGGCGGGGACAGAGCCACAGGGCAGCAAGTGAGTGGGGTCCGGGGGGCTGGGGGCGGGGACAGAGCCACGGGGCAGCAAGTGAGTGGGGTCCGGGGGGGGGGCTGGGGGCGGGGACAGAGCCACGGGGCAGCAAGTGAGTGGGGTCCGGGGGGGGGCTGGGGGCGGGGACAGAGCCACGGGGCAGCAAGTGAGTGGGGTCCAGGGGGGCTGGGGGCGGGGACAGAGCCATGGGGTGGCACTCTGGCTGGTGCAGCCCCCCACGCCTGGCCCAGCTGGCCTTGGGAAGGCCCTCTCTGAATTCCCGTCACGCTAAGCAGCAGGAATCCTGGACAGCAGCCCTTGCCCGGAGTGCTCTCCATGCACCCGCAGGGCTGGCCCCGCACGGCGCTGTCCGCCGCCGCCGCCCACGCTCCCTGGAGCTGTGACAACCTGTGCTGACCGAGGGCCCGCCTTCCCACGCGGGACCCTGGGGCTGGGCCACTTCGGTTCTTCCTCCCCTCACAGAGGTGGCCCCCCAGCCCAGCCCCCGATGTGTGTCCTGGAGGTGTGGCTGTGAGCCCAGCCATGCCCAGGGTTCAGGGGCTGGGCCAGGCCAACGCGGGAGCCCGAAGCTCAATCCAGGCCTGCCGCGTAGGCGGCAGAGACCAAGCACTTGGGCCATCACCGCCGGCTTCCCCCCGTGGTACATGCCAGCAGGAAGCCGGAAGGGGACGTGGCGCAGCCCCGCCCCCTGCTCATGCCACCCGGTCGCCTCCGCACAGGGGCACCACCACCGTGGACGGCGCCGGCTTCGGCATCGACCGGCCGGCTGAGCTCTCCAAGGAGGACGACGAGTACGAGGCTTTCCGCAAGAGGATGATGCTGGCCTACCGCTTCCGGCCCAACCCCCTGGTGCGCTTGTCCCTCTCCGCCCAGCTCTCGCGGTCAGCCTTGGGCTGGGGCGGTCAGGGAAGGTGGCCCCGCCTGAGGGTGTGGACTTCGCTGCACGGGGCAGGAGCTGCTGTGTCTGTGTCCCGCGTTAACCGCCCCCCCTCTCCCCGCCTTGCCTCCCGCAGAACAACCCGAGGCGGCCGTACTACTGACAGCTGCGCAGGCGGCTTTCCCAGCACCGGTCCTGGACCATGGAACGTGGCCGCGCTGCGCCCGCCCCTGCCGTCACCAGTGTCGTGCTGTGTATTAAAGTCTCAGTGCTCACCCGCTGTCCAGTCCCTCAGCGCCGGGCGGGGTCTGCACGGGCGGCTCAGCGGGCGAGGTTGGGGGACCGCCCAGCCCCGCCCCGCCCCCCGGGAGGCAGGGCCCAGCCTTTCCTCAGACCACGTCCCCCTCCTGCCCAGCAGGTGGCGCTGGCAGGACCCGGCACGCAGAACAAGCCACAGCTGGTGATGCTGTACACGTGGCCACCTGGGGCTCCACCAGTGGGAGTCCTGGGGGCCTCCCTTTGGAAGAAAGGTGTGTGCCGAGACCCCCAAGCCAGCAGCTCGCAGCTGTCCAGAAGCCCCCCACCCCGGGGGCCTTGTTCACCTGCGGCTGCCCAGGAATCCGCCTTCCCGCCGGCCTTGCTGGTCCGCAGGCTGCTCCTGCAGCAGCAGAGCCCAGGGATCTCACCCTGTGGGGGCCGTCCAACTCCCCTGGGGACCAGGGGTGCCCCGTCCACAGGCTCCAAGGGCCGGGGCTGGAGTTGGGCTCCTGGCCAGCCACTGCCCGCACAGTCGCTCACAAACACCGAGCACCAACCATGTGGAATGCGGGTGATGGGATGTGCGCCCTGCCAGCCAGGCTGCAGGGCGAGGTCGGAGGCCACTGGGGTGTGTGTGCGACAGTGGCTTCTGGGGCAGCGATGGAACCAGAGCCAGGGTGGCACACACTGCCGTGTCTCGTGGCGGCTGTGTTAGAGTCGGGGCAGTGGGGTGGCCCTGGTGCCCATGTTTGGGGGCTGCCCAGCAGGCCATGGGCCAGGGACCTGAGCACAGTGGTGTATCTCTGGGCAGCCAGATACTTGGGACACAGGGACCTTGCCATCCAGGTCACCTTCCACTGAGACCTGAGAGGGCTAGGGGCCAACTGGAGTGAAGGCACAGGGACCCTGCCGTCCAGGTCACCGCTCTGCTGAGACCTGAGAGGGCTAGGGGCCCACTGGAGTGAAGGCACAGGGACCCCACCGTCCAGGTCGCCGCTCCGCTGAGACCTGAGAGGGCTAGGGGCCCACTGGAGTGAAGGCACAGGGACCCCACCGTCCAGGTCACCGCTCCGCTGAGACCTGAGAGGGCTAGGGGCCCGCTGGAGTGAAGGCACAGACCTAACCCCAGGCAGGGGACTGGGAGTCCTCCCAGTGCTGCCCGAGGCTGCCTGTGTGCAGCTGCATCCAGGACACAGGGCACAAGGCCAGGCCCCCTGATAGAGCTGGACAGGGGTGCCTCTGGCCCAGTGCACGGGACGGGGAGCCAGGGAGGCTGCCTGGAGGAGGGGACAGGGCTTTTAAAGAAATGAGAGAGCGGGAGAGTCCGTCTCCTAGACAGGAAGCGCCTGTGGAGCGGGTTGGCACCGCCAGAGTCGGAGGAGGTCAGCCCGTTGGAACCTGGACTTTACCCCAGCGGCAACGGGCACGTGGGGAGCGAGGCTGAGTCAGAGCGGTGTCCAGAGACCCTGTGGAACGGATGGGCCCGGGGAGCACCAGGCCAACGGGCGGCCTGGAGGAGGGAGAGGGCTGGCACCTGCCCCCATGTCCAGACTGTGGGCTCCCAGGGCCGGGCAGTCGGGTGGGAGCGGAGCGCTCACCTCGCAGTCAGACAGCAACCTGAGAGTGGATGGACGGGGTGACAGATGGCCTCTGCCTAAGTGTGCCCACGTGGCAGCCGCCCCCCCCCCCCATTCCAGGTCCCTAGGGCCCAGCCTCCTTCCAGCTTCTCCCTCCCTGGAAGCCGCCTCCCCCCCCCCCACCACCAATTCCCAGCTGGAAGCTTCCCCCACACTGGCTCCATCAAGACCTCATGTGAGGGAGGCGACCCCCCCGGGGGGGCTGCTTGCCCCCTCCAGTCAAAGCTTCAGGCCTGGACACCTGTTTAAATCTATGGCCACCACGGGAAAGCGCAAGTCCAGGTGCGCGGAAGGGCGTTCTGAGACCGGGTGAGCGCGCACAGGCCATGCGCTCTTGAGGCTGGGGGATAGGGCTGCCATCTGAGGGAACAAGGAGGGTTAAAAAGGGCCCCCTTCCCGCTGGAGGTGGAGGTGGGGATGCCAGTGTCTTAGAACAAAGTGGCTGGGGGCCACCAGGACGCAGTCCGAGAGAGGAAGCGACCCCAGCCTTGCACGGAGGAGGAAGCTGATGGCCACTGGGGGCTGCGCGGGGCCGCACGAGGGTGCTGATGAGGAGGGGTGGGGGCGGGGCAGCTGTGAGGGGGCGTGGCGGGGAGGGGCCTCGGAGGCTCCCCGGGAACGCGCAGGGCGCTCGCGGCGGCGGCGGTGGCGCGCCCAGGGCGCATCGTGGGGCGACCTTTGCGCGGGGCGGGTTCTTGACAACCGCCCCTCCCACGCCCACACGCGCGGCCGCCGAGGAGCCGAGCGCCCGGAGGCCTCGCCAGGGCCGACCCGGGGTCCCGGCGCCGCCGCCGCCATGGACCTCCCGCCGCTGGCCGGCAAGATCGCGGCGCTGTCGCTCGGCGCCCTCCCGGTGTCCTACGCGCTCAACCAGGTCTCGGCGCTCTCGCAGTGCGTGCGGGCAGGGGGCAGAGGGGCACAGAGCGGGCGGGCGGGGAGGGCCCCACGGCGCTGGAGGGGGGATGCACAGGCTGCCGGCCTGGGCCCAGCGAGCCCCGCGCCTCTGGCCCCAGCTCCGGCTGGGAATTGGGGGTTGGGGGCTGGGCACGCACCATTCCCCCCTTCACCGGAAGTCCCCTTCCGGTCAGGCGGAGGCTGGGGTAGGGGCGCTCCTGGGATGTTTGGGGGGAGCCTGGGGCTGTGGAGGCGCGCTCACCTCACAGCGCTCACACCGGGGAGGTCTCTAAGGGGGCGTCCCAGGGATGCGCCCAGCAAGGGTTCCAAAGTCATGAGGGGGTCAACGTATTGTCCCAGATAAGGCCGGGCTGCCCAGCTCTCGCCACCCCACTCGCCCTGCTCTCTCTCGCGCGCCTGAAACTCCTGCTCAGGGTTGGCTCAGTCCCTAGCTCCAGTGTCCCCTTCGTGCTGTCCCCTATCCTGTGTCCCAACCCCGGGTCCCAGCCTGTGGCTCTAGCTGCCGGGTGGCAGACACACTCACTGCGGTTCATCCCAGGCCACGGGGCAGAGCGAGCCTGGCTCCCTGGGTCCGGGTGCCTGTCTCCAATCCCCTGGGACCCTGGTGGGGGGCGAGCCAGGTTGCCCCTGGCAGCCTCCGTGTGTGCAGCTGTGTGATGGCACCGCCTTGGCTCTGGTCTCACAGCTATGGGTGAGGATGCCAAACTGGGCACAGAGTACGTGCGGACCAGAGCGGAGGTCCTAGGGGCGGGGGCGGGGGGGCGGTGGAGGTTGTGGGAAGGTGTTGGACAGTATCTTGCTGGGTGACCCCCGACGGGTCTCGTGCGCTTTCTGAGCCTTGGTTTGTCCACCTGTGTTGGGAGATGCCCAGAGACCAGACTTTTACTTTCTTTATCTAGCTATCCAAGTGGCTGACCTGTCTTATCAGGTTGCTGGGGGAAGAGGAGGGCGGGAGTTGGGCTGGAATTGATGGAAGCATTTGGACTTTAGCCGGGAGAATCTGGGAGCCTCAGATGGTGAGGTCTACAGAGCTGGGCACCAGAGACCCTCCTGTTTATTTATTTGAGAGGTAGAGTTACAGACACAGAGAGAGGTCTTCCATCCGCTGGTTCACTCCCCAAATGGCCTCAGCGGCCGGAGCTGAGCCAATCCGAAGCCAGCAGCCAGGAGCTGCATCCGGGTCTCCCATGCAGGTGCAGGGGCCCAAGAATTTGGGCCATCTTCCACTGCCTTCCCAAGCCATAGGCAGGGAGCTGGATCGGAAGAGGAGCAGCCGGCACTCGAACCGGCACCCCTGTGGGAGGCTTCGGCTGCTACACCACAGCGCCGGCCCCTCCCCAGAGCTTCTTAGAGTCCACCCTCTCCCCTGATTCGAGTTCCTGCCCCACAGCCCCCTGTGGGTAGCGCTGATGAGCGCCCTGATTCTGGGTCTGCTCTTCGTGGCTGTGTACAGCTTGGCCCATGGAGAGATCTCCTACGACCCGCTCTACGCTGGTGAGTCCGCGGGACGCCCTGGGGAAGAGGACTGGGCTAGAGCTTCCACCTTCAGACTGGGCGGGGTGGGGGGGGCACTGAAGGGCCTCCTCCATCAGATTGGGAGTCCTGGACGAACCACCCGTCAGAGGAAACCACAAGGAGACTGGAACACCCCCCTTTCTCCTGGGGAACCCCCTTCGGACTTGGGGGTCCTGAGAGGAGGGACTGGGTCTCCCTCATCAGACTAGGGGAGACCTGAAAGATCCTGCCTCCGCTCACTCTGGGATCTCCTGAGAGCAGGGATGATATCTCTCCTGTGAGATTTGGGAGACCCACCCCTTCCAAAGACAGGAACTGTGTTTCCCCCATCAGACCAGGGACTTCTGAGGGCCAGGCTGCGCCTCCTCCATCAGATATGCAGAATGAGGCGGGACCGTGGTCACGGACCTTGTGGGGCAGGGACGGGCACTTGGCTGGAATCTCAAACCGTGCCTTCTACCTGGCCTGAGCACGGTCGGGCTGCGCTTCGCGGTAGCCACGCCCACACACAGCCGTGGCCACGCCCACACCACGGTCCCCCGCCCACACGTGGCCCGGCCCCGCCCACTCTCCCTATAGTCTTCGCTGTCTTCGCCTTCACCTCCGTGGTGGACCTCATTATCGCGCTCCAGGAAGATGGCTACGTGGTGGGCTTCATGGAGTTCTACACCAAGGAGGTAAGTGGGGCGGGGGCCAGGGTCGCCCCCCTGCCCCTCCGCCTCCCCGGCCGCCTGAGCCCCGCCCCCACCTGCTCTGCCAGGGGGACCCGTACCTGCGCACCGCTCATGGCATCTTCATCTGCTACTGGGACGGCACAGTTCACTACTTCCTCTACCTGGCCATGGCAGGTGCCATCCGCAAAAGGTACGGGCCGGGGGCGGGGCCAGGGAGGCCAGCCAGGGGGCGGGGCCAGGGAGTGCCAACCGGGGGCGGGGCCAGGGAGGCCAACCGGGGGCGGGGCCAGGGAGGCCAGCCGGGGGTCGGGGCCAGGGAGGCCAGCAGGGGGCGGGGCCAGGGAGGCCAACCGGGGCGGGGCCAGGGAGGCCAGCAGGGGGCTCTTGGGCTCCTGCGTCTTCCTATGCTGCACTCCCAGGCCACGCTGGAGTGGCAGGTGACCCCTGTAAGGGCTCCAGGAGGGAGGTGCAGGGACTGTGGTCAGGAGTAAGATGTGGCCCCTGGCCTTGGCTCCTATCCCTCTCTGTTCCCGCTCACATTCAACTCCCTGTCGCCCCTCCCCGTGCTGGGGAAAGCAAGCAGAGAGGGCTACCCGGAGCTGGGGAGCCCCTGGGGGGAGGGGACCGGGATGGGTGCCTGCTGGTCACCCTCAGTCCCCGCCCACCTCCCCCAGGAAGAGATACCGGAACCTTGGGCTGTACTGGCTGGGCTCCTTTGCCATGAGCATCCTGGTGTTCCTCCCCGGGAACATTCTTGGTAAGGAGTCAGCCCTGGGGCGCCTAGTGCCCGCTCCGCTGGGCCGAGTGAGACCCTCGCCCTCCGTCACCCGGCAGGCAAATACAGCTCAGAGATCAGACCCGCCTTCTTTCTCGCCATCCCCTACATGCTAGTCCCGTGCTGGGCCGGCATGAGGGTCTTCAACCAGCCCCGGGCGCCCACCAGCTGCACCCCTGAGGTGGTGAGCGCCTTGCCCCCCCCCCGTGCCCGCCTCCCCTTTCTCCCCCTCCCCCGTGCCTAAAGCGCATCTCCAGTGTCCTTGGGCGTTTGGAAAAGAGGGAAGAACGTTTACGGAACGCCTGCCGGATGCCGGGGCTCTCACTCCGGCGCTGTCCTCCCGCGGGGCAGGTGCAGACGGAGCAGAGGAAGAACCTCCTGCAGCGCCCGGCTGACCTGGCCCTCGTCACCTACCTCGTCCTGGCTGGGTTTTTCACCTTCTTCCGCGGCCTGGTGCGTTCCGGCCCGTCCCCAGCCCGTCCAGTGCGCATGCGCATTCCTTTATCTGTTGCAAAAAAGGTCTATTGATCGCCCAAGCCTGCCCTGGGGGAGGGGATCCCATGGCCAAGCCCCCACTTCCCTGCAGCCCCAAAGCTGTGCACCCCCAGCCAGAGAGACAGCCGGGAGGGGCTACAGCCAGGAATGTGGGCCCTGCGTGGGGCTGGGGGGCGCACTTCCTACTGGAGAGAGGTGAGGCGGGCCGATGGCTCACCTGGTCTGGTCCCAGGTGGTGCTGGACTGTCCACGGATGCTGCTTTGTTTACATCTATCAGTATGAGCCGTACCTGCGGGACCCTGTGGCCTACCAAGGTGCAGGTAAGAGGGCGGGTGGGAGGAGAGGGCCGTTCCTGCTGTGGGGAGGAGCCCGCTTTGAAGCAGGAGCCAGGATCGCAAGTCAGTCTGCCAGCAGACAAAGAGAATTTATTGTCTACAAAAAGAGAGAGAGAGAGGGAGAGAGAGAGAGAGAGAGAGACAGGTGCCTTCAGGTATGGCTGGATCCAGGAGTTCCTGGCTGGCTATGTTGTGTGCCTTGACAGTTCCTGTGGTGTGTGTGTGTGGTGTGTGGGAGGGGCACAGACCAGGCTCAGGCCTCCATGCACCCCACCCAGCCATCTCAGAGGCACCGAACCTCAGAGTTTAAAGTACAAGTCTCAGGCAGGCTCTGATTGATCCAGCCCAAATCGCACGTCATCCTCTCTATCTGCCAATCATATGGATAGAGGCCCGGGGTGTTCTGATGGCAAGCCAGGGTCGTATGCAAATTGGATGTGGGGGTGGGATGGGAGCGGGGCAGGGATACCCAAGGGTAGCAGGAGGACCCTCGCAGCTTGCGGGGGAGGGGGGTCCCGGGGAGCCAGCCGCAGGGGGCTGTCCGTTCTCCTGCAGATGCTGCTCTACATGTTTTACGTCCTCCCTTCTACGGCCTGGCGTCTACGCACTCACTTCAGGGCTGCTCTGGCTGCGACTGGGCGCTGGTGTTTGCTGGAGCCGTGGGCCAGGTGAGGCGGGGGAGCGAGCGGTGGATGAATGGGCAGGCACGTAGGGGGGCGGGTGCTGTGTGTCTGTATGCCCTCGCCCAGAAAAAGGCCTTAGCCTCACGCCTGGCACCCCAGGATCCCTTGCCTGGGGGGAGAGCGAGCCAGACACAGACACCCCGTCCCGGCCGTTGTGCGTCAGAGTGGGAAGAAGCGGGGCCAGGGCTGAGAGCCCAGGGGCTGAGAGCCCGGAGGCTGGGAGTTTCCGGAAGAGGGGTTGTGACGGGCGGGCTGGGTCCAGGGAGGAAAGTGCATTCTGGGAATGGGAACAGCACAGGGGAAGGCCGGATGCGGGCTTTGCATTCGGGACTTGCGGGCTCGTGCCGAGGGCAGTGGGGAGCCATGGGAGGTGTGGAGCAGTGGAGGGCCCGGTCAGAGCTGCTGGGGGCCTGTTTGGGGTTTCTTGATGGGACATGATAAGGCCGGGTGTACAGGGTGGGCGTTTTGGCTTGGTGGTCAGACACCACCAGATGCGATGCCTGCATCGGGGCTGGAGTTGTGGCCTCGTGGGTTCAGCCG